AAGGGGCGGGAGGGCGGGAGGGGCTTTGTGTGGGGAGTGGCAAAGGGGGTCAAAGAAGACTTGAGGTGCGGCGCCCAGTCCTCCGAAGCACGTAGAGGGTGTCGGGGCTGGGCCCTGGAGGGTACAGGCGAGGCATCTTGAACCCTGGTCGGAAGCTCCCGAAAGGACCTGACAGGGCGCCATTTTGGTCTGGGTCACTGCAGTCATGGCTGCAACCGACTCCACTCTGGGTGGCCTTGCCAGAGAGGCCTGACCGGGAGGGGATTGCCCTGGACCGTCCTCAACACTGCCTGAGTCAGGACCGCGCCTCCTGAGGCTCCGTCCCAGAATGCCTCTCCAAGTTCCTGGAAACGTGAAGGTCATTCTTAGCTCAGGACGCGGGGCGAGAGGGTGGCGTGGTGGGAGGCCCGACTGCGATGCTCTGTCCCTGCCCACTGCCCTCCTCTGTCAGCCCCGCAGGGCCGTGAGCCCGCAGGGTGCCCAGACTCCTCGGCGTGGCACTGGTGTGAAGCCACGTCCTGCCCGCTCAGGAACTACAGCTCCAGCCCTCCCCACCCCGGGCCCTGCCTTCGCAGTTGCTCCTCCGAGTCCTGATCCCTGCTCGTGCGGGAACCCACGCCAGCTCCCAGACAAGGCCCCGCTGGCTGGGCAATGCTGCCCATGCCACCCACAATCTCCCAACGCACACTTCCGGGGAAGAAAGGGGTACAGCCATGGGCAGGAGGAAGCTCCTCTCTGCGGTGCCGGCCAGGACAAGCGGTCAGGACTGGGCTCTGAGGGGTCCGATCTGGCACATGACCCAGGGGTCGCGTCCCATCTGGGGAGGGCCCCACGCCTCTGCCCTCGCTGCCTCGCCCCAGGAGGCACAGGTCTCTCCAGCATCAGGCTCGTCTCTGCCCGGCTTTGGAGCAGTAACTTGGGTCTTTGTGCACCCGTGGCCAAGCGTGACCGCAGGCGACAGCCCCTCTGCTCACTCACGGCGACCACCTGGGGACAGGCAGGGTCACAGTCACCCACAGCCTGGCTTAGCTTGGGCGCGGTCTCGACCTACGAGGCAGGAACTCAGCGCGAGCTGCGTGGAGGTCCACATGCCCTCTGCCCGGCCCCTGGGGCCTGGCATTGAGGACTTTCCCAGAGCTCACAGGTTCTGGCCTTGGGCCAGGGCAGCGAGAGCACAGCCAGGCCGAGCCCGATCCCAGGCATGTGGCCCGACACACGAGGCAAGGCGAGAACTGAGGAGCGTGTTTGTGTCTCCTCTCAGCCGACCTTCGCCTGGCCGGGGAAGAAGCCCAAGCCCCAACTCTGAGCTGGAGGGCTGCCCAGAAAGGCCGACAGGCGGCGTCATGCAGTGCCCATGTCCAGCGTGTTTCAGTGGTGACAGGCCGCACACACTACAGAGGCCCCACCCCGTCATGCCAGCTGACCCATGTGGTCATGTATGTGCTCCCCACGGCGTCTGCACACAGTCCCGCAGTGACACCTTCTCCACACGCACTCCCGCCTGCCGCGCTTTGAGGACTCTGACAGGCTGAGCACAGATCTGGCTCTGGTCCCCTGAGGGCCAGCCCCGAGGACGTCCTCTGCTGGCCACACCCGTGTCCAGAGTCCCCTTTTACCCTGGGCTAGTCCAGTCGCAGGGATGGCTAAACCATCAGGGCCACAGCACGCACCGAGACGGTATGGAAGCCATGTCTGAGGGAGGGCTGGTCGGGCACTGTGTGTCCGGACGCGAGTGGCAGCTGGAGTCCACCTATGCCTCTCGGACCCTCCATTTGCAAATGAATGAGTGAGATTACAAGAAAACCTGAAATTGATCAGTGAGTGCTAAAAAACAAAACAAAAAACAGCCAGTCCGAACAAAGTGAGCATGGAGTCGGACCACACCCTGACACCCCACTTGGACCTAGTCGCCAAGGCTCACGGTTGACGTGCAGGACTGATCAGTACAGGGCACGGCAGGTCAATGCCTGCCTCCCTCATGTCCCCAAGGCTCCTGGGCTCCTGCTGAGCGCTGGGTGCAGGGCGACGCCCTGTCTGTGCCCTCACCGCCCTGGTGAGCACTGCCAGGGAAAAGCCCAGGGACCCCCTGAGATTGCTCTGGGCACAGGCTGGGCAGAGGGCTGGAAATGATGGGACCCCACACACACGGAAGGCTGACATTGCCCAGCGCAGAGCACCTCAGACCCGGGGACCTCGCTGCTTCCTGGCTCTGTCTGGGGGCCATTAATTAAAAATGGTTCACGACACTGTCTCGTCAGTCCCACGGAACCACAAGCCCATGGCTCCTCTCTCCCCCCTTTGCCAACAGCTAGCCGTGGCTGGGAAGATGGAGGGAAACGGGTCCCTCCTTCCTCGCCATGGTGGGCGGGGACCGACGCAGGGGACATGGTATGCACAACAACATCATGAATGGCAACGTGTCTCTCATGTAGAAGAGCGTGCACCTCCTACCATCGTCATATCCTTTGGGGGATATGTCCCTGGTTTGCACCTTGGGAGCTATGGCCCGCTTGCCGTAAGTGTGGCTGTCGTAGCTGCTGTATTCGAACGAGGTCTTGGAGTACTTCTCGAGCTCCTTAGCCAGGTTGGAGCGCGGCGTGGTGGTGGGGACGTTGTTCCTGTAGCCATACTGCGGAATCTCCAGCTGCTTCACGAAGCACATGGGCCTGGAAGGGGACAAGGCAAACGGCACGTCCTGGGCGTGTGCGCAGCGCAGGCCACGCGAGCCTCGCACGGCTACACACGTCTGAGAAGAGACAAGCGTGTTTAACTAGAGCGATGGTCGGCCGAAAGTCGGCCCCGACAATGGAAAGGACGGGGAATGGGAGACTCCACGTGGCCCTTGTCTCCGGTCAGCAGTGGTGGCGAGATGCAGGCTGGGGCTGAGGGTGGAGACTTCCTCCTGCCTGCGGGGTGCAGAGAGAGGAGGACAGGAGCGCGTCAGATGTCCTCGGGACAGAGGGACACCAGGAGTGCTCTTGGGGACCCGGCTGAGACCAAGCAGACCAAACCGTCTCGGACAAGGAAGTGGAGGCGCTAGTCAGAGCTCTGCCGGGCGTCTCCCTACACTTCCAGCATTTCCACCTCCTCGTCATGTTTTGCCATTGGAATAGAATATCTGAGTGAAGGAACACGTGGTAATTACCACACCGTCAGATTCCCTCCTGCCCTGCGTGTGGCCGTGCCTGTTCCCCTGCTCACCTACCCACATCCTAGCTCCTAAGTGGAATTTTAGGCTTTTACTTGTAATAGTTTCAGACTTTCCGAGAAGTTGTATGAGGGCTCCCTTCACCGATTTCCGTTGATGTTAACATCTGCATGCCCACAGTACAGTGATTGGAGCCCGGAAACAGACATCAGCCAGTGTCCCTGCCAGTCTGCAGCCTCGACGTGGCCTGGGCCAGCCTCCAGGAGCCCCACCAGGAGCTCACGGCACGCTCACTCACCGGGGCTGTGCCCCACCGCCCACCGGCTCCCTCAGCCACCGTGCCCTCGGCCCTGCCCCAAGAGAGGGCGTTTGGGTACAGGCATGGGGCACCCCCTACGGGCTGCTAGAGCACCCCAGGCTTCTGTGTCTCCTCGAGGGGACTGCCAGTGGAGATACTCGCAGCTTTACTGCGCGCAGTCCCCGTCCATGGTAAGGGATTTCTGACGTGTCTCTATCTTTCTAACTTGTGTAAAATGTGTTCAAAATAAGGAATCAACATAAAGAATCAACAACAAAGCGGGAAATAGTAGTGAGAAAACACTGGGCGGCGAGTGTGTGTGCGTCAGGGTCACGATCAACCTGCGAGGCACTGTCATGGAGTAAGGCCGGTGTCCTGATGCCTTGCTCGCCCGCAGACACCGCTCTGTCCCCAGCACAGTGTGACAAAGCGGGGATGCCCGGGACTCCAGCCATGCCGCTGCGGCTCAAGTGGGGGAGAGCCCTCCTGACAGCACCCGCCATGACACCCGCCAGCCCCTCCGCGGCGGTGACCCCGAGGCGTGGTCTCCCCTTTCTAGCTTCCTGTCCTCGTCTCCACAGGGGCTGCGGAGCTTTGCTGTGTATGATTACGCAGTGTTGCATGCGTGGTTAATATTAGGGGCTCCGCGGCTGTAGTGATAGCCATACTCCCGCAGAGACAGAGGGTCGGGGTTCTGGGGTGTCCTTCTGGTTAACCTCACGCACTCTATGTGTCCCATTGGAATCTCACACTTACGTATTTTGTGCTTTATTTTGCATGAAATTTAATATTCCTTTTTGTTGCTTAGGTTTTAAAAATAGCTTCTAAGAGCTGCATGATATTAAAATTAATGACTACTGTATTATTTTTATTTATCTTTTGGAGAGATTTTTGCTATAGGGTGCGTGCGCTCGCCAGACAGACAGAGAGAGACAGAGAGACAGAAAGCGAGAAATCACCCCCCAGAGGGGATGGTCACGTCGCAATCCCTTCTCCTCTATTCTCCTCTCGGGATCTTGGGCACGCATACACATGCGCCCGGTGTGAGTTTTAAGCCACCGGGTCCGGGACACCAACCGCGGTCGACTACATGGGAGTCCAGCGACATAGCCATTACGCTAACTGCTGGTTCCCATGACTACCATATTATTTAACAGTGTTCCGACTTTCAGGTTTTTGCTATTGTAAGTCGTGATTTAATACGCACCTCTGTACTTATACAGACTTTTAGTTTTTGTTCTCTGGTTATTTCAAACATTTATATTTGGGGGCAGTTACAAAGTTTCGGTAACTAGATTTTTATAAAAAGCAAAGTAAGCCAGCTACTACGTGTCACTTAAGATTTATCCTTACCGCCTTTATAATGATGGGTCATGGTTAATGGCCCAATTTGCTGACCATATCAGCATATTTATTTAAATTTCATTAAGTCAGAATATTTACTTTTCATCCAATCAACACTGTAGCAGCTGCTGTCTGCAGTTTTCCAGGCACTTCCCAGCAGCTGGGGTGCCTGAGTGACAATGGTCTCTAGGCCGGCTGTGAGAGGCAGGAGATGACAATGTTGAAGAGTCCGAATGGTAAGTGAGTTTTCAAGAAGAAGGGGCGCTGGATCCATAGACCCGTGAAGGTGATGGGGGACCGTGTTTGGAGCTGGTTCTGCAGGAGCGAGGAGTTTACGGGACAGGCTGTGTAGGCAGGAAGCTTTCTGGGAAGAGGGGCTGCAGAGTGGAAGGCGAGGAAGCGGGAGAGCTGCACGTGCCTTCACCGCGGCGGCCTGGGGCCAGGCCAGGAGACAGGCAGCCCGCCCTCACCTGGGGCCAGGCTGGGAGACCAGTGAGTGTGGTGCTAGGGGATTGGGAGGAGGCATGGGGCTGGGCACCAGGTGGCAGGTGTGCTTGTATGCAGAGCGAGGCCAGGGGGCAGGAGAGGAGACCATGGGCTTGGACAAGGTCGGGCACATTCAAAATGGGTTCCTGCTGTGCCCCCGTGCAGAGATCTCTGAACGAGCCTCAGTTCGGATGCTCTGCCTCGCTCCTGTCTGTCTCTTCCCTTACCCTGCAGATTGAGCACTGGATGCAGATGCTGTGAGGTGCTGGGGGAGACTGCCCTGCTCCTGAGCAGCCTGGCCAGGAAAGTGGCTGAATGGAAGCCCTGCACCAGATGACCCCTGGGTCCTACATTCCCGCCTGTGGTCAGTGACCACCCTGCTTGGGTCACACAGCCTTAAGCATTGTTTGTACACACGTGTGTGTGTGCGTGTGTGTGTGCATGTGCATGCGGGGGGAAAGTGTGTGCAAGTGTGTGGGTGGACATGTGTATGCATGTGTACGTGTGTGCGTGCGCATGTGTGTAGGGGTAGGTGTGTGTGTGCGTGCCCGTGTGGGTGTGGGTGGTGGGAGTGCTTGAAGTGACCAATACTGAGAGCAAGGTGGGGAGGAGGGAGGAGCCTGCAGTGTGCTCGGTCCCAGCATCCGAAGGCGGTGGTTACAGGGAGGGCGGGTCTGCGTGAGGCAGGTGCGTGTAGGTGGTAATGACATACAGGAAGACCTAGACGCTCACATGCCAACCCTTACTGTGGCATTGTCTCCAAGAGGCAGGGTTTTGTTTTCTCATTTTTGTGAAATGCAGTATTTGACATTTTCCACAAACTGTTTTTTAGCTTTTCTCTTGGGGGAGAAAGGAGCTCTAATTACTCTGGAAAACCCTTTCTGAAAGCTGCGACATGCCCACCATGACCACACACGTGTCAGCAGCAGCTTAGCGATTTCCTTCAAGCGATGTCTCTCAAGAAACAGCTTAACAGACGCGCAATGCTGCACGCACGGGCAGGACGTCCCGTCTGCGCCTTTAGCAGTGAGGGCTGGACATGGCCTAAAAGTCTTGGAGCCTGGACCCAGCTCCGGCATGGTGGCCCCCACACAGTGGGGGTGCTGTGGTGACAGTGTTGGTGGCTGTCACGGCTCTGCTGTGACCGTCAGAAAAGGACGGGCTGTGTGAAGGGTGTCGGCTTTCACACGGCGTGAGGGACGTGGAGGCTCCGTGAAATGGGGGAGGTACACAGGGTCACGGACTGCCGGTCCCCTCCACCTCATCCCTGCGGGTCCCCTCCACCTCCCCCCTGCGGGCCCCTTCCACCTCCCCACTTTCCCCTGAGGTCCCCTCCACCTCTCCCCTGCGGGGCAGCTCCACCTCCCCACTTTCCCCTGAGGTCCCCTCCACCTCTCCCCTGCGGGTCCGCTCCACCTGTCCTCTGCGGGGTTCCTTCACCTCACCCCCACTGAGGACCCCCTTTACCTCACCCCTGCGGCCCTTCCCTAACTGAGCTAAACCAGATGGCCCCGACAGTCTCTCCCCTTCCACCCTCAGTGATGACGCGAGCCCAGCTGGACAGCTTAACCTCTCTGCACGCTGGGTTTTCACACCGTCAGGTGGTGGTGGTAATACCCACGCTGTGGGGTGCCGGGCCGAGGGAGTTGGCGGCCCTGACGGCTTTCTGCAGAGGGTGCTGGGGCCTTGTCAGGGTTGCTCGCCTGCCGTGCACATTCAGACGTGAACGCCGCCCGCAGAGGCCCTTATGCCCCTCCTCCAAATTACGATGGAACAACTTTGAGCATCTTGTTAATCTGCAAACTTCCCTTTCTAGGCCCATATTGCCCTTAACTATCAGCGCCAAAAAGAAAAGCAGAAATATTGCCTCCAATTCCCTCCTTGAAAAAGTCACACGGGCAGTGGGCACCCAGCAGGCATGGCCCTCCCTCCCACGCCGCCTGCTGAGGGTGACCTCCGGAGAGCCGACAGCCTTCACCGGGGCTGGGTCCGAACGGCACCTTCCCCAGAGCCCGAGCCCGAGGGACGATCGCGGCGTGTACCTGAGGACCCGGTCCGAGGCCTGGCTGGACTTGGACACGTCGCAGCCCTGGTGCTTCTCCTGGGCCTTGGCCAGTTTCTCTGCCGCGGCAATCGGACATCCAGAGAGGCTGTAATGACAGAGGGGTGAGTGCTGGTGCCATGGCTCCCCACGGCCTGGCCCTGAGCGACAGACCCTGCACGGTGGGACTGTGGGAGGCCGTGTCATCCTCCAAACCTGCGCCGGCAGTCCCCAGAGGTGGGCCAGGAGAAGGGCGCGGTCAGCTTTTCTTCCCCGTCCCAGCAGACGGGGTGTCTGGCCGCTCTGTGCAGTCGTGAGCACATGGGAGCTTCACGTTTCAGAGAGTCTAAGCACGTCCTGTGCAACTACCCACTGGGGTAGGAGGAGGTTTGAGGACGCCCTGGAAAGGGGCCTGTAGACGGTGTGGTAGCTGGGGTGCCCACATGGCTGACTGGTTTGTCCAGAACCTGGCAGTTTGCACTCTCACTTTTCCTCTCTCTCTCTCTCTGGTCAAATTAAATAATAATAAAACTAGAAATAAATAAATAATAATACTATTTTTTCTTTTTACAAAGAAGCCCCAGAATAGTGGTCCAGCTGGTGGCGTGGTGGTTAACATAGCTGGATCCCACATGGCCGACTGCGTGGTTTGAGTGGCAGACATGCCGGCTGGGAAGACATCAGGTGGGTGGGTGTGCACGCCCAACATCCTGACAGGAGGGAGAGAGGGAGGAAGCAGTTATGGTGTGACCATGTCCCTGGGGGCAATTTCTTGCTTTTGACCCCATCTCTCCTGTGAGCACAAACTTCCTGTGGCAAAATTTTAAAAAAAATACAGAAATATTAAAAAAAAAGCCGCCCTGAAATGGCAACTGCAAGCTGGTACCAGGAGGGGAGCGCAGACCTGGCTGGGCTGCCCTGGGCCTGCGACCCAACCCTCTCCCGCTGCTCACAGGAAGGAGTGAAAGCACAAAAACCTCAGCGCTGCGGTCAGCTCTCCTTGCCAGAGAGGGACACAGAGAGACAGAGACAGTGAGGAGCCCCCGGGAGGGCCACGCCACATCCCTTCTCCTCCACTTCCTCGAGGTCTGCAGCGTGCGTGCACACGCCCAGTGTGATTTCTGAGCTGCCAGGTCTGAGACTCGACCTGCTCAGTGGCCACGTGGACTCGGTGCCTTAGTCTCCACGCCGCCGGCTGGCCCCTGCCGTAAGTGTTTTACAGAGCTGGATTTCAGGGCCGGCCTCCACGAGAGCCCCTGGAGGACTCCCACGTTCTAACTCAAGCTTCATGGAATTACGGTGCCTGTCTGTCTGCATCTACATGGACCTCCGCATACATGTGCCAGTGCCACACGTGTATCATGACCCACAAACGTGTGAGTGTGCTGAGGCTCAGCAAAGGGCCCACCCAAATGTCCCCGAGACGGCACCGCACGAGCCCCGCAGCCCCAGTACCTGAGACCGGTTCACTGTGAGCCGGACACAGGTAGCCAGACGCACCGGGCAGACGGCAGGCACTAGGGGGCACTTGTCCCAGTTCCCTCATCTAGCTGACGTGCAGTCACAGGCTGGGGACTCTAACGGAACTCCCTGCTACTGCAGAAGAGAACAGAGGGTCACAACCCCCTGAGTGCGTCTCATCAAGTCTGGAGCGGACAGGGACCGAGACTGGGATTTGTCACGAGAAGCCTGACTGCCCTCGTCGCTCACCACTGCGGTTAGAAGCCTGTGTGCCCAGCGCAGCCCGCCCAGCTCAGGCCTGTGCAGTTGCTGGCCTGGGCCTCGCCTCTGCCCTCTGGCCATCGCTAATCATTGGTCTCTGTCTCCGGTGCCAGACCAAGGGTGGGCCCTGGGAGCTGCCGCCCCCATGGGACACGTGCGGAGACACCAGAGGTCCGGACTGCAGCAGAGGGCGGCTGTCCACCCCCTCGGAGCGACCACACCTGTGCTCTCTCAAGGCTGTGTGCCGAGGACAGCCTGGCTTTCTCCCGGGCAGCGCAGAGGGGCGGGCGCGGGCGCGGGCGCGGACGCGGAGCGGCCCCGCTTACCTCCTGTGTGAGTTCCTGTTGCTGTTCACGTGCCCGCGCCCTGTGCAGCCCGGAGTGGGACACTTGAGGACGTTTTCGTGCATGGCCAGAACTTGACGAGGAGGCAGAGAAAACAGCCCAGCATTAAAACCAGGGAGCGTTACACGAGGTTGCGCGATCAACCGGCGAGGGCTGGGCTTGTTTGCGACAGACAGTCCCAACGCTTTTGATGGGCATGGCTGGGGACACAGACAGAGGAGGAGGAAGACTGCCTCGCCTTCACACGCTGAATCATGTCAAATGGGTGCTCTGGGCCAGGGCCACGGGGTCTGAGAAGGCCATCACCCAGTGGACCCTGACGGAGAGGGAGCAGGACCCCACAGCGCTGGCTCGGCTGGCCGGGGGACCTCATGGCCGTGGGCACTAAGCAGGCCTGTGCTTGGAGACCCAGTGCCACCCAAGTACGGTGGGTACACGTAAGAGGCCAGAGCCTGACTTTAATAAAAGGAACTAAATAACGAGTGTCCACTAGGAGTTAGGTGCTCTCACTCCTCCTGGAGAATGGCTAGCCTGGGGGCGCTCTGCATTCTACCTGAGACTAGCTGAGGGACAGGAGGTGGCCCCTGCACTGTCCACCACAAGAGGGACAGGAGGGGGCCCCTGCACTGTCCACCACAAGAGGGACAGGAGGGGGCGCCTGCACTGGCCACCCCAAAAAGGG